TCCACAAGGACCCTCACCAACTTCTACAGATGCATCATTGAAAGCATACTGTTCAGCTGCATATGGCAACTGCTCTGCCCAGGACCATAAGAAACTACAGAAGGTGGTGTGCACAGCCCAGACCATCATGCAAGTCGACCTCCCATCCACGGATTCCACTTACACATCTTCTTGCCGCAGAAAGGCTGCCGACATCATCAAAGACCGACCGCACTCCAGTAATGATCTCCTACAACTTCTTCCGTCAGGCAAATAATACAGAAGCTTAAAAAAAACATACCAGCAGGTTCAAAAACAGCTTCCTGCGTTATCAGACTGATCAATGGACTCTCTAACTTCAAATAATGCTGATCCAGTTAATGTTGATCTTGCCTCGCGCATGTCCTGTGCAATGTAACCCGTATGCCTCACTCTGTCCAAGTTTTTTTCCATCATATGATCTGTATGTCCCGTCTTACTACTACCTGCCTGTACTGCTCACAAACAAAGCTTTTCACTGTACTTAGGTACACATGACAAAAATCAAATCAAATTAAATTAAACATATGGAAATACCCACTAAAAATGAACAAAGCTGTCACAAGTAGTAACTTTCAAAGCAGATTTAAATATGTACTTGAAAGTGAGAAAGAGTTATAGTGAAAGAGTAAGTAAGCAAGACTGATTCCATGGCATTCAAAGAGACAACACAGACCTAGTAGGCCAAATGCTCTTCTGTGTTGCATATTTCTATAAAAACATCAAATAATAACTGACCTTTCCAAACCAAATCGATGGTTAAACTATATTGTTGTGCTCATTTTTTTTTCTTTATTCATTCACGGGATGAGGGACATCACCAGCTAGGCAGCATTTAGTGCCCATCTCTAATTGCCCAGAGGGCAGTTCAGAGTCAACCACATTGCTGTGGGTCTAGAATCACATGTAGGCCAGGCCAGTTAACGATGGTAGTTTCCTTCCCTAAAGGATATTACTGAACCAGATGGTTTTTCCAACAATCGACAATGGATTCACAGTCATCATTAGATTCTTAATTCCAGATATTTTTATTGAATTTAAATTCCACCATCTGCCGTGGTGGGATGCAAACCTGGGTCCCCAGAATGTTATCTGGGTCTCTGGATTAACAGTCTAGTGATAATACCATTAGGCCATCGCCTCCCCTACATTTGGCACAATGTACATTACTAAGCATTTAATATTTGTACATTATAGCACAAACATTTTTATATTTTCACCCAAAAGTAAACAGTTATGCAACAATCTACCATACTAGATATTGTATATACCTGGCATACTAAGTTTAGGCGATGACTTTTTCCCCACAACAGATGCCAGCTACAAGGTTATTACAGTATCAAATCATCAATTTTATATATTCTATGAAACCATCATGCAAATCTAGATGGAGATAGCAAATAAAAATAAAATAAGGAAACTCGTGTGTGGAGCAGAAACCAAGTGCTGAAGTAGAGTTTGCAGATCTGGCAGCTTCTATGGAGACAGAAACTGAGCTCCATGTTTCTAGTCCAATATGACTCTTCTTCAGAATTTCATTCTCCAGCATCTTTAGTTAATTTCTCCGGAATCCCACAGTACTGTCATAGAGTATTACAGCATGGAAACAGGCCCTTCAGCCCAAACTGGTCCATGCTGTCCATGGTTCCCACTCAGCTAGTTCCAATTGCCCGCATTTGATCCATATCCCTCTAAACCCTTCCTATCCATATACCTATCCAAACGTTTTTTAAATATTGCTATTGTACCTGCCTCAACCACTTTCTCTGGCAGCCCATTCCATATACACACCACTCTCTGCGTGAAGAGATTGCCCCTCAGGTCTTTCTTTAATCTTTCCCCTCTCACCTTAAACCTATACCCTCTAGTTTTCAATTCCCCTATCCCTGGGAAAAGTACTATATTCATTCATCCTATCTATGCCCCTCATGATTTTATACACCTCAATAAGGTCACCCCTCATTCTCCTATATTCCAAGGAATAATGTCCTATCCTGGCTGACCTGTCCCTATAACTCAGGCCTACTAGTCCTGGCAACATCCTTGTAAATCTTCTTTGCACACTTTCCAGTTTAACAATGTCTTTCCTATAACAGGGTGACCAAAACTGTACACAATACTCGATGTGCAGCCTCACCAATGACTTATACAACTGTAACATAACATTCCAACTCCTATACTCAATGCCTCTACCAATGAAGGCCAGCATGCTAGATGCCTTCTCCACCATTCTGTCTGTCTATCTGTGACGCTGCTTTCAAAGAACTACGTACATGTACTCCTAGGTCCCTCTGTTCCACAACACTCCCCAGGACCTTACCATTTACTGTATAAGTCCTACCTTGGTTTGACTTTCCAAAGTGCAACACCTCACACTTATCTGTATTGAACTGCATTTGCTAATCCTTTTTTCTGAAGAAGGGTCTAGGCCCGAAACGTCAGCCTTCCTGCTCCTCTGATGCTGCTTTGCCTGCTGTGTTCATCCAGCTCTCCACCTTGGTATCTCAGATTCTCCAGCATCTGCAGTTCCTACTATCTTTGCTAATCCTCAGCCCACTTCCCCATCTGATCAAGATCCCTCTGTAATTTTTGATAACCTTCCTCGCTATCAACAATACCCTCTAATTTTGTATCATCCACAAACTTACTAATCATGTATTGTACATTCACATCCAGATCATTTATGTAAATAATATCAATAACAAAGGTCCCAGCACCAACCCCTGTGGCACATCACTAGTTACAGGCCTCCAGCCCGAGAAATAACATTCAACCATCACCCTCTGCTTCCTATTATCAAGCCAATTTTGAATCCAATTAGCTAACTCTCCCTGGATCCCATGCAATCTAACCTTTGAGACTAGCCTGCCATGTGGGACCTTGTCAAAGGCCTTACTCGAGTCCAACATCCGCCCTACCCTCATCCATCCACTTGGTTACCTCTTCTAAAAACTCTACAAGATTTGTCAGGTATGACTTCCCGTGCACAAATCCATGCTAACTATCCCCAATCAGACCTTGACTATCCAAGTGTTGGTGTACCCTGTCCCACAGTATCCTCTCCAATAATTTGCCTACCACTGATGTCAGGCTAACTGGCCTGTAGTTCCCTCACTTGCCTTTGCTACCTTTCTTAAACAATAGAACAACAACATTAGCCACCCTACAGTCTTCTGGAACTTCACCAGTGGCTAAAGATGAAGCAAAAATCTCTGCAAGAGACTTCAAATTTTTCCCTAGCCTCCCACAACTTTCAAGGATGAACTTGATCAAATCCAGGGGAATTATCCACCTTAATGTGCGTTAAGGCTGCAAACACCTCCTTTCTGGTAATATGTAAATGGTCCAAAACATCCCCACTTGATTCCCTTATTTCCTTAGCATCCATGATTCTTACTTCATAAAGCACTGAGGAGGGATATTCACTAAAAAACCTCACCCATCTCCTATGGCTCTACCCATAGACGGCCATGCTGCTCTTTAAGGGTACGTATTCTCTCCCTAGCCACCCTTTCACCCTTAATATAGCTACAGAACCTCTTGGGATTATCTTTAACCATATCTGCCAGATCCACCTCATACCCTCTTTTTAACTGTTCTGATTTCCCTGTTAAGTGTGCTCCTACACTTTTTATAGTCATTTGGAGATTCACTTGAGCCCGATAGCTTAAACCCAATGTATGCCTTCTTCTTTTTCCTGACCAGAGCCTCAATATCCCTCATCAGCCAGGGATCCCTAAACCTGCCAGCTTTTCCCTTCACCCTCACAGGGTCACACTGTCCCTGGACTCGTGATATCACACTTTTATAAGCCTCCCATTTGCCTGTCGCTCCTTTTCCTTCAAACAGATTCACCCAATCGACCTCTGCTAGGTCCTGCCTAATGGCCCCAAAATTGGCCCTGCTGCAGTTCAGCACCTGAACCTGTGGACCTATCCTATCTTTTTCCATAACCATGTCAAAACTAAGAGAGTTATGTTCACCAGACCCAAAGTGCTCTCTGACTGACAATTCAATCATTTGCCTGATCTAATTTCCCAAGAGGAGGTCTAGTGTTGCACCCTCCCGAGTAGGGCCCTCTATTGATTTAGGAAACTTTCTTGGACACATTTGACAAATTCCACCCCATCTGTGCCTTTTGCACTCTGGGTGGCCCAGTCAATACAGAGGAAATTAAAATCTCCAACCAATACTACTCTATTATTCGTACAGGTATCTGCAATCTCTCTACACATCTGCTCCTCTAGTACCAGCTGGCTATTTGGGGGTCTATAATACAGTCCCAACAGAGTGATCATCCCCTTCTTGTTTCTAAGTTCTAACCATATGGCCTCATTTGATGAACGTTAAGAGTATCCTCTCTCAGCGCAGTTATGTCCTCCCTTATCAAAAGGGCAAATCCCCCTATTTGCTTACTTGTACTTCTGTCACGCAGAGGGTGGACAGTGTCTGGAACATGCTGCCAGAGGAAGTGACAGAAGCAAATATGATAGCAACATTTAAGAGGCATTTAGCCAGACATATGAACAGGCAGAGAATAGAGGGATCCAGACCACATGCAGGCAGATGGGATGAGTTTAGAAACGACATCCTGGGCAGCACAGACATGTGCTATGTGTTTAGTATTGGAAATAAAAAGGTCACCATTAACTGTAAAACACTTTTAGACAGAAAGATTACGAGTGAGCCATTCGACCCCTCAAGCCTACTACAACAGTCAATAACATCATGGCTGATCTGATTGCGGCCCAATTCCAGATTCTATCTCCTAACCGTTTGATTCCTGGTTGGTTATCAGAACCCTCCGATGGCTGTGAAAGGTGCTTTGTAAATGTAGGTATGCTACCTCCCCGGTGAGAGATTAGATCACAGCCCAGACCAGGGGCAGCCCCACGCCGCCTCCTGCTGCCGCTGATTCTCAGAACTAAAGGCGGAGCTGGAGGGGACCGGAGCCGCCAGCCGCCTTCCCCCGAGGCCCTCACCTCTCTCCGTCTCCAACCAAACCCCCGCCGCCGCCGCCGCCGCCGCCGCCTCCCTCAGAGCGTGGGGAAAGCTCAAGCTTCCCGCTCGGAGCCTGGGCCTTCTGACCCCGCCACCGGAAACAACCTTTCACCTCTCACCCCGCACTTCCTGCCCGTCTCCTAGCAACAATGGCCAAACTCATCGGCAAGAGAGTGCAGGGAAACCTCTGGGAGGAGATCTGTGCAGGTAATGGTCAGTGATGGGCGGTAATGGTCAGTGATGATCTGTGATGGGCACTGCGATGGTCAGTAGAATGGTCAGTGATGGGCACTGCGATGGTCGGTAGAATGGTCAGTGATGGTCAGTAATGGTCAGTGATGG